GAACATTCGAGCATCCACAATGCACACCAGGATGCTAGAGCCCAAAGGTCTGTTTGTATCACAGATATGCTATCACTCATGGCATCAGAGTTGAACTAGAATAGCACTTTATTGTCTTCTGCGAATAGCTAAGCGTACCCCGCCCGAAGACTAAGACCACCTCGTTAAATTAGGGTAAGAACGGCATGGGGCCAGGACATTACCTTAGATGGCTCCATTTTTGCCCGGTTTTGCGGCAGACGTCACGCGGCCCAGGCACGCCGACTGCGTTCACTTTGATAAATGGCATTTAAACCAGGAGTGCAGAATTTGGGCGAAACCAAACGCGGGGAGTTTGGTTAGCAGTTCCTAATCTGGACCATGCTCGAATTACTTTACTTGTCGAGGAACATGACAAGCACTTCATGCTTTAAATTTATGGCCACTGTGACGTTTAAAACTCGAACGCCCATGTCTGAGAGGGATGGGATGGCGAGCACCCGTTATGAGATCCGTTGATAAGCTTTCGAGACAAAAGTATTTCAGTACTCCCTCATTACTAGGTAGCTACACTTATTTATAACGTATACCGCTGCAATACTTTTTAGATTTTCATTTCTTATTTTTGCTATCTGCTTGCAAATCAGAAAGTCACTTTGGCGAAAAAGAATAATGGCTTTATTCGTAGACCACAATTCAATTGGAAATAACTCGCACGCTACTGAACAGATTGCATCTAGTTTACTTTTAATGTAAGCAGTGGTTAAAACTTTTAATGAGCAGCCTACTTTGTGCTCCTCAACGCAGTATTCTAGCCTTAGAATAGGTTTTTGTTTTTTAAGCTTTACTCGGGTTTAAATTTTGCGCCAGAAAGCAATGACAGCGTAAGAAAAGTTTGGCTGTTTTTGTTAGTTTGAATTTTTCAAGTGAAGTACGCCACCTTAGTATGTCTCTTAACAAATCCGTTTTATTTTTATCTGCATTTCTCGAAATTATTTCTAACCCTTTCGTATTCCTTATAATTCCGCCACTCTTATTTCTTCCATATGCGCACCAATAATTGTGGCGACTGAGCGGGCAGAAAAGTATCCCATGAATGTTAAAGAATTGTTGTGGTGAATTGCATCTTGTTCCAACGAAAAACGGCACAACTACAGCTCTGCGCAACTTTCACAACAAAAGAACAAGGGGCTCAATGTCGCCCGAAGGAACCATAGAAATTTCAAGTTGGGCGCCTGCGACCCCATCAGCTGCAAGCCAAACAATGCCAATGCATTTGTAATTACCAACTAGGAAAGTATACTCGTAAATGGTCTACTTCATGCAAGAGCATAGGATAACGTAAAAATGAATCGGAACCCTTAAGGGTGCAGCCTCTAACCAGTCTAGAAACGTACCTATTTATTTATTGATTCATCGATATATCACTCGTGTGTTGATGTGTGTACAACTGATAGGACGATGTTTGTATGCGTTTAAACCGGAACCGCGTTTGTGTCGCGGTAAGAATCCAGCACAGCAGCCCAAACAAGGTTTTGGTGCAATCAATGACCATTACGAAGCCGGGATGATCTGTACTTCAGTAAAGCATTCTTCATAGTAAAATCAGTTGCACAGGTTGGATGTAGAAGGCTGAGGACTGCGTCAGTGTGAAATGTATAGCTGTGAGTTTATTTTGTGGCAAGTCACATCCGCCACGTTGCAGTGTTGTTAAGCGGACATTTGTGAACTTTTATAGGGAGAACGCTTGCCAGGCGAAAACCCACCACGTCCTGGAACACTGTCGTAGTTTCCGTTGAACCGTAGTGCTATTCGGCTAGGTATCGTATAGACCGATTTTGCACTTTATTATGCGCAGTCGGTTGAAAGCCAAAAATCTTCCTTCGTTGGCCGAATGGCTTAGTAATGATCCGGCAGTAGTCGTTGAAGCCGGTCAATGATGCAAAAGAGTTGCAGAGTCGAATGATAATGCTGCAGATGAGTAAACACATTGTTAATAGAGGCCGGCTTTTTCTATTATATTGTCCGGCTCGCAACCCGTGTCCAGCTATCCATGCTGGATTTGTCATAGGGACGATGAGTGCAGTTGTTTCTTGTGTCTGAATATGCCCATACCAGGAAAAAAATGCTATTCTGCATGTGGCTTGGAAGGAGCCAATCCGTTGTTCTCCAGCCTTCATTTTCCTCGAACATCTGTCTCTCTAACCTTGGCTCGCCTTTTGATTTATTCATTGAAACTGTAGGTATCCAGTTGTGCACAAACGTCTTAACGATATGGATTCACCAGCCACTGATACATCCTGTTCTAGAGTCACTATCTCTGCTCAGCAGCAGCTAGTATCCATAGGCTACATTCAATTCTGCGGATATCCGAAGCTCGCTAGGACTTGCTCCTTCCTTACAATGTTTATTCGCTTGGATTCTTCGCTTCACAGCTCAGCTGGTTTCTTGACCTATTCTATGCCACCGTAGGATCCACTAGTAACTGAAGGCTTAATCCAAATTCCATTGCTGGCGACTCATCACACTTCTGGCGAGATGTTCTGCGTCGTCCTTCTTACTCGCGTCAACTCTTCTTGGCAGCAGCTTGTCATTGTTGGCCACATGTAGCTTGGAAAGAGCATATCCGTTACTCTCCAACCTTCATTTACCTCGAACGACTGCTTCACTAATCTTTGCTCGCCTGCTGTTTTATCCATTGAAGCTGTAGGTATCCAGTAGTGGTCAAAAGTCAAGGCTATGGCTACACCAGCCACTGATACATCCTTTACTACAGCCACTACTACTGCTTAGCAGCAGCTGCTCGCTGTAGGCTCTATTCAACTCTTCGGATACCCGGAGCTTGCTAAGGGACACCCATCCCTACAACTTTTATTCACTTGGTATATTTTGATAACAGCTCAGTTGGTTTATTGACCTATCCTTTGACAATGTAGTTATTCATTAGTACTTAGCTAACACGAACTTGGCCACTGAAACTCGGCCCTTTAGCGCCATCTCTCGATCGTCTTACTTTCAACTCTGATTTTTCCGTTCATATCCATTTAATCCTAGCCTGCTTCTAGTTGCTCAGCTGCCGATCTTTATATACCCATGTACAAAATATTCATTATGTGTCTGAGATAATCCTCATTCCGTAGAGTATATATAAATATGGCCACATCGTCACTGTATCTCTTGGTTTCTGATAACAACCAAATGTAACTACATATCCACCTTCTAGTCTCAGGTTAAATTCTAACGCCGTTAACAAGTACCTCGTAATTGCTTACCGAAACCCTGCTCTTTATCCTCATGTGCATGAAAGCATTTTGCCCATTAGGCCATGCCTACCCCATAAGTAAAATGATTTTCAGTGTACTGTCGGTTACAAATTGTACACCAATTGTCTCAAGTAAATGTTTTAAAGTCGGATTTCCTCAATGCTTGGTAAATGACTGTTTTTTGGTCTTCTCTCGGCCTGTTCCTCTCTTTTCTTTTTTCTGAAGTCAAGAACATCTGAGAGATCTGGGATTGAACTGAGGAAATGCCTCCGTCTGGGATAGGACAAAGTAACCAACAAGGACTTACCTGGACCAGGGCTCCGCTTCCATTCTCACCATCTGCACCAAACAACTCAATCATCGACGTCCAGTGAGGGTTTTCTGGACACGAATTCTTCGCTCCCCGGCAAATATACATAACCAGAGGTGAGATTTCATACTATGGAAATTCTACTTACCTGCAAAATCATACTTTCTCCTCAACTGATTTCAACGTCCATGTTGGAATCTGACTGTGCCATTTTTCTGGCTAATAGAGGAATCACTCGGCTGCGAATAACTAAAGGAACTAATGCTTTATAACCAGTGTTGCCAGTTACACAGGACTGATCATAGCAATCAAAGACAGTGTTCCAGGACATGGTGGGTTTTCGCCTGGCAAGCGTTCTCCTTATAAAAAGCCACAAAAGTCCGTTTATCAAGACTGTGACGTGGCGGATGTGACTCGCCACTGAATAAAGTCACTGCCTAATGTTACACCCTGGAATATCGGCTAGTCATTTTTCGATATTCTACTGACATGTACAACAGTTACTCTTTTTTCACATACTGTCCCCACTCTGTCTACTGCGCGATTTTTATTTACTCCGCACACTTAAAACCATTTTACTGGCACTCC